ACAGGAGTAATATATAGACCCCCCAATCTTGATAGAGTCAATGAGCTACTTATCTGGGATGAAATGCGCAGGGCTTCCATACACAACAAAGTCTGTATAGAAGGTGACTTTAACCTTGGCCAAATAGATTGGACTGACCTTACGGGTAACTCAGAATCAGAGGATTTTCTCGAGACGATCCAGGACTGCTTCCTAAGTCAACATATAACCGAACCCACACGGGGTAATAATATACTCGATTTAGTTCTGTCGAACAGAGAAAACTTCATTAGCAATGTCGAGGTAGGGAACGAACTTGCAAACAGCGATCACAAAGAAATTAGATTCCAGTTAGATTTTCAGGGCAGACGTAAGGAAAATTCCACTAAAGTACCAGATTTCAGAAGGGCAAACTTTGACAGTTTAAAGAGGCAGCTGAGAGAGGGGTGTCGCGTTTGGCCATGAACCTGACAGATGACACCGACCTGATAACGAGATCTGAGATTGCCGAGTTCGACAATTTAAATAGTGAGTTACTTAATGCATAAAGGCAGAACATACCATACAAAAAAACTCAGATCAGACAACAATGACCTAAATGGATAAATAATTATTTAAAGAACATCATTGGCCAAAGGAAGGCTATAGGTAGAAGGATAAATCGTGGCGAAATTCACCTCCGGGACTATTATAGGGTATTGGCGAGTAGGGTTAAATCCGAGATAAGGAAAGCAAAGAGGAATAATGAGGTAAGGATAGCAAGGGAGGCGAAGACAAACCCCAAAGGATTCTACCAAATGTATCAAACTAAAACACGAGAAAAGATTGGACCATTACGGTCAGACTCTGGCGAGCTCACTGATAACGACGGAGAAATGAGCAACAATTTGAATAAATATTTTTCAACAGTTTTCACCACCGAAAATTTAAACATGATACCTGAGGCACCGACCCTATTCAGAGATAGTGAAGAAAACAAATTAAGTGAGATAGTAGTGACTAGTAACGATGTTAGTAAGCAAATAGACAAACTAAAGCCTAATAAGTCACCTGGTCCCGATGAGATATTTGCCAGAGTATTAAAGGAATGTAAGGAAGAGCTTAGTATGCCCTTAGCAACGTTGTTTAACATGTCCTTAAAAACAGGTGTAGTACCAGAATCCTGGAGGATAGCGAATGTAATACCGATTTTCAAGAAGGGGGATAGATCACTATCCTCTAACTACCGCCCAATGAGTCTAACATCAATAGTAGGCAAATTACTGGAAGCAATCATTTCAAACTCTATTCGAAATCACCTGGAGAAGCACAGATTGATCAATGATTCCCAGCATGGCTTCACAAGCGGACGTTCTTGCCTAACTAATCTATTAACATTCTTTTCATCAGTTTTCGAATCGGTGGACGAGGGGCACAATTATGATGTGGTATATCTCGACTTTAGCAAAGCCTTCGACAGAGTCCCCCACGAAAGACTAATTAGAAAGGTAGAAGCTCATGGCATCAAAGGTGACATCCTTAAATGGATTAGGGCGTGGTTACAGGACAGGAAACAGCGAGTGAGCATTAACGGCACTAAGTCCCATTGGAGCAACGTCACAAGTGGAGTTCCCCAAGGCTCAGTACTTGGACCATTATTGTTTATTATATACATAAACGACATAGATATCGGCATAGACAGCAACATAAGTAAATTTGCTGATGACACTAAAATAGGACGTGTTATTAAATCTGACGAGGACTCGGCAAAACTACAGGAAGATCTAAACAAAGTTTTCGAATGGTCTGAAAAATGGCAGATGAAATTCAACGTCGACAAATGTAAAGTACTCAGTATAGGAGATGTAAACAGGGAAACCAGATACCAGATGAACAACGATGCCATAGAGAAATCCGACTGCGAGAGAGATTTAGGAGTAATGATAAGTAGGAACCTTAAGCCAAGTAAACAATGTGTTTTTGCTCGTAACAAGGCTAATAAAGTACTTGGGTTCATACAAAGGAGTGTTAGTTACAAGACTAGCTAGGTCATCCTAAAACTGTATCTTGCTCTTGTGAGACCACACCTGGATTACGCAGTTCATTTCTGGTCACCGTATTACAGAATGGATATAGAATCCTTGGAAAGAATTCAGAGGAGAATGACAAGACTAATCCCGGGCATTAGGAACCTTGAGTATAGAGACAGGTTAAAGCATCTTAATTTGCACTCCCTCGAGAGACGTAGAGCGAGGGGCGACCTGATAAGGTGTATAAGTGGAAGTCAGGGCTAAACAAAGGGGACATTACAAAGGTACTCAAACTATCCAACCAGGAGCGAACTCGTAACAATGGTTTTAAATTAGACAAATTTAGATTTAGGCGTGAAATAGGTAAACACTGGTTTGGAAACAGAGTAGTGGATGAATGGAACAAGTTATCAAATATCATCATTAACTCGAATACGCTGAATAGCTTCAAACATAGGTTGGATGCTTATATGAGCAATAGGGGTTGGGTGTAAACGGGACTGCCCAGTATGGGCCAATAGGCCCGCTGCAGCTTCCTCCATTCTTATGTTCTTATGTTCAATCTCATACCCCACAAGTCTCTCCTACCTCGTCCTGAGTCTGGCATATCTTCTGGCCACACATCCGGTACGCAACAATCTATGTGGTGTGCTCAAAAAAATAATAAATAAATAAAATTAATAAATATTGAAGTGTTCTTATTACCATCATGCCATTGTACTATTCCAGATGATACTAAATGTTACTTAATACTTTCTTGAGATAGATGTATAGTAAGATATATCAGGTGCCTCAAAGAGAGCTCAGGTTCTCAACCGGCTCAGCCATGTTAATATTGTTATTATTATCCACTCTGTATCTGTGTTTTTATGGTTAAATAAACTGCTTAAATTCAATTCAATTCAGAGGATGTTAAATAAAACCTAAACTGTCAGAAGGGCGTGACATTAAAGTTACCTTATAACAAGTGAGAGATTATATCAAAGTCTCCTTTTGTGATGGTTAGAATTAAGCTACATTGTTCCTTTACACATTAATCCATTACTTGTGAGTGTGTGTGAGGCATCAATATATCCACGTGTTGTTTATAATGTTACATTTACTTGTGTTGGAGAGAAAGACAAAGGGCAACGGCGGCATAAACAAATTTTCCGCTTACAGGTACAGTATCACACGCTGCCACATGTTGAGTTTTATATTGTCTTTTAGGATTCCAATTAGTTATTCTCAACTATATAAAACACTTAGAATTCGGTTTTTAAACATTAATTTTTTTTATTACTATTAGAAAAAGTGAATACGTCATAGATTAAGTAAATTGTTTTACTGTAACTACTGTACTCCTTGTGGTAGGTAGCCACGTAGTTAATTAGTGTAAAGTAACAATGACTCGGGGTGGTTCTCAATACGTGAACAAGACTTTGACTTTGCATGTGGAAGACTTATAGAAATGCCTTATAAAATATGTTACACGTAGCCTATAGTTGGAGAGTTTTCTATCGTTACTTGGTGTAATTCATATATATTTTTGCTACCATCATGGAATATTGTTTGTGTGAACTGAATTATCTATGAATTTAATTATCCCATTAATATTTTCTTAAAGTGCAGGACATATTCCTTATTTAACAAAAAAAAAATTCACGTACCGTCTTCCATTATTTTGCTTGAAAAAGTTAGAAATATTTCCGACATGGCAACTGTTCGCTGACATCAAAACCCACCGTCCGATTCTGATTATGCGCAGTAACTCAACTAACTAAATACCAGAGCTACTTTTGTTGGTATTCTAAATCAAACACATATGATAATATAATATTATAAATTAAAATTTATATATGTTATTACCTAAGTTGTTTTATTCCTAATTTATAATAATAAGATACGATGGAGAAACAGTCAACCGAACACAAGTCTCCCGTGAAGACCAGTTGCTGTGTTGTGAGGAGGCTGAGGTGGCGCGCTCACTAGTCACTCCATTACTTCATGAAAATACGGGAATGATAGTGTCCAACAGTGATCATACAGTGTGTTAGCAATATAAGATAAGTGTATCTGTTTATAACGAAGGTAAAATATAATGGTACCAGAAAATAGCTGTTCCGTTTATTTACTAATGACGGCATGAGTGATCTGCTTGTTGAGTTCATCCTTCTGACATAAGCAGTGCTGGTTGTTAATGTTGTGATTGGTTATCTCATGCTGGTCAGGGTGTGCTGTGACTGTCATGCTACGACCCACATAACACCATTATAAAAATCAATGGGTCTGAACCAAAGCAAACGGAAGATAACTGGGAGGTGTAGACGAGGCTGAGAGTGGTGTGTGGGGGTCGCCTCTTAGTAGTGATGAAAAAGTGATATCAGTTAGGACCTCGACCATGGCAACCTACTGCCCAGAAGACCTGGCCTCCAGGGAACTCTGCTGTCCCATCTGTTTCGAGGATTACGACATTCAGGACACGAGAAGGACGCCCAAGTTACTGCTATGCCTCCACACCTTTTGCTTCGAGTGTGCCAGAAAACTGTGGAAGTGGGACGGGTCGCTCGAGTGCTCCCTGTGTCGGATGTTACACGAGCAGGTCACACTTGATGACCTCCTCGACAACCACGTGATTGTACAGCATCTCAGGTGTGTAAACCCCCACCCCCTCCCCTCCTGTCACAACCCCCCTCCCTCCTGTCACCCTCCTCCCCTTAATACAAACATGTTTTCCTCATTTAAACATTCACTTCTTTACCAAGCCCCAGCTCGTTCCTCAATCAATTACCAGTTAATTCCCCCCACCAAAAAAAATATCACAATTCCTGAATTTATTTCCAAGAGTTAAGGAGTTGTAAGATGTGGTATATCTTTATCAACACTTGTGAGGATAAATGTTGATTCTCTGACATTCCTCACACATACACACACGGGTCCTGACTTTCTGTTGCTATCCTCCAGGCGTGAGTTTGAGGAGCGAGACCTTGAGTTCGCGAGAAGAATCGATCAGGAAATGCGGGACCAGGACAGGTGAGTAGTACAACTCTATGTTCCCACGGCCACACTGCCCCTGCCTGCCTGCCCATGCTGTCTAGAACATAAGAAAATAAGGAGTCTGCAATAGGCCGGTTGACCTGTGCGTGGCAGCTCCTGTCGAGAGTTACTACCACTTTCTATCATCCATGAATCTATCTAGCCTCCTTTTAAAACTTTCCAGCGTTCCAGCACTTACTACAAAGTTGCTAATCTTGTTCCACTCGTCCGCCACCCTATTTGTGAACCAGTTCCTTCCTATCTCCCTCCTAAACCTAAACTTATCTAACTTAAATTCGTTGCTACGAGTCCTATCCTGCTTGGATATTATAAGAACTTTATCTATATCGCCTTTATTGATTCCTTTCACCCACTTAAATACTTCTATCATATCTCCCCGCACTCTTCGTCTTTCTAGTGAATGCAAGTTTAGTTTCTTTAACCTATCCTGATATGGAAGGTTTCTAAGTCCCGGAATCATTTTAGTCATTCTTCGCTGCACCGAATTGATACCCATTCTATAAGAAGGGCACCAGAACTGAACCGCATAATTGAGGTGCGGCCTGACTAGCGCAAGATATAGTTGCAATAAAACCTCTGCCCTCTTATTACTTACACTTCTAGATATAAAACCTAATACTCTGTTTGCTTGATTTCGAAAATTAACGCACTGTACCCCTAAGTCTCTTTCACAAGTCGACTTCTCTAGGTTGATGTTGTTATGGCTGTATACATTGACAGTATTTGTTCTTCCAATATTAAGTACGCTGCACTTGCTGGTGTTGAATTTCATTTGTCATTTTTCTGACCACTCCTGCAGTTTATTTAAATCCTCTTGCAGTGCATATACATCCTGCCCTGAATTAATCTGCTGCCCTATTTTGGTGTCATCCACAAACTTACTTATGTCACTGCTGATCCCAGTATCTAGATCGTTTATGTAGATTATGAACAAGAGTGAGCCCAGTACTGACCCCTGGGGAACCCCACTGGTTACACAGCCCCACTCAGATTTTACACCATCTACGCTGACCCTCTGTGTTCTATCGGTGAGCCATGATTTTATCCAATTTAAACTTTCCCTTGATACCATGAGCCTTAACTTTTCTCAGAAGCCTCTGATGCGGTACTCTGTCAAACGCTTTGCTAAAGTCTAAGTAAATAACATCGTAATTTTCGTCATTATCTACTACCTTGAAGACTTTCCTAAATAACGTCAGCAGATTTGTTAGACAAGATTTTCCCTTTGTAAACCCATGTTGGGAGTCGCAGATTAATTTGCTTTTCTCTAAATGCGATCGGATGCTATTTGCTATAGTTGATTCAAGAAATTTTCCCGCTACTGACGTCAAACTAATCGGCCGGTAATTTGATGCTGATGCTCTGTCTCCCTTTTTGAATATGGGTACTACATTTGCCTGTTTCCACAAGTCTGGCACAACTCCCGTGTCTAATGATTTTGTAAATAAATTTACGAGGGGTCCGCTAATCTGTTCCTTACACTCTTTCAAAACTCGAGGGAAAATTTCATCCGGCCCTGGGGATTTTGTTTTCTTTAATTTATTTATCTTCTTAAGAACATCCTCTTTTCTTATAGGGATATTCTTTAATTTCTCTTCTTCATTTCCCCCAAATATCAGTTCCACCTATGGAATTTCCTCGTGAATTTCTTCTGTGAAAACATATAAAAAGTAGCTATTTAATGCTCTGCTTATTTTCTCACTGTCATCAATCACTTTCCCTCTCCCTGATTTTAAAGGCCCTACTTTGTCCTTGATCTTTGTCCTGTACACCTGGAAAATCCTTGGGATTCGCCTTGGATTCTCTTGCTATCTTGATTTCGTAGTCCCTCTTTGCCTTCCTTACATTTTCTTAACATTCCTAGATAGTTCATTATACCTATTTCTGAGCTGCTCCTCCCCTCCCTTTAATTTCTTATAAATTCCTTTCTTTATTCCTATGTCATGTTTAAGTTTTCTGGTCATCCACCTGTGCTCATTCATATTTGACCTAATTTTTCTGTATGGTATATTTCGTTCTTGTGCTTTACGTAGTATACGAGTGAATATATTAGTCATGATCAATTGTTGTGTCACCTGTGACCTCACATGTTCCTACTGCGGACTGACCTGACTGTTCCCAGGCGACCTCACCTAGGTACCTTCTTAACCCCTCATAATCCGCCAATCGAAAGTTTGGGACTCTGACCATATTGTCATTGTTTTTCGTTTCCCAATTTAGGGTGAACCTGATTTCTCTGTTATCACTGTTCCCTAGTTCTTCCCCTATTGTGATATCTCTGATAATATTTTCTTTATTTGTTAATACTAGGTCTAATATATTGTTACCTCTAGTAGGTTCTGTAATTAGTTGTTTAAAAAAATTGTCCTGTACTGCATCTTGGAAGTCTTCAGATTCATAGTCACCTACAATGTTGTCCTAGTCAATATTTCTGAAGTTGAAATCCCCCATAATGCACGGGTTGTTGTATTTTGCTGCCCTACTCATTTCCTGCCATATGAGCTGAGCTGCTTCTTTCCCAAGACTTGGGGGGCCTGTAAATCACTCCCATAATTAGTTTTTCTTTTCCTTCCGCAGTTTCTACCCATACAGACTCGGTTCCAATTTCACCCTTTATTGAATTATTAATACAATATTTTAAGGTATCCCTGATGAAGAGTGCGACCCCTCCCCCCTTCCTACCTTTCCTGTCTTTGTGAAAAAGGTTGTACCCTTCTATGTGGTACTCTGATAAAAAGTTATTGCACGCCAGATTCATCCAAGTTTCGGTGATTGCTATGACGTATACATTCTCGGTACATACAACCGCTCTCATCAAGCCTATTTTATTTCTAACTCTCCTACTGTTTGTATAGTATACATTTAAACCTACCCTTCCCTGATTCTGTTTTACCCCATGGCCTGAGTAACCAATTTTACTCCTCAGGACCTGCTTGTTTTTTGACTCCCACTTACCCCGACCTCTCTCTACTGGTGAAACCAGTGGAGCCTGTTTTAACTTAGCTAGGGGCTACTCTTGATTTGTTTCACTCAACTTGGGGTGTGTTTCATTTAACAAAGGGGCTGTTTCACTTGAATTGGGACTTGTTAAACCAAATTTAGGTACTATCCCTCAGCAAGGATTTGTTACACATACGTATTAGTCCTGTTCCATACTGGTTGAGCAGCCCGCGTACAGACAGGTACTTTACTGGGAACATATATCGCCGTGTGAGTCACCATTCACATGCACAAAGGTTGTCCACGTGGTCCATTGAGGTCTGCATTGCAAACAATAAAACTTGGAGTCTGGCGTGTGTTATGACTGTCACGTGTACTCAGACACTTAACATAGTTCTCATGTGACAAGCTGGTACGCCGTTAGCTGTTGGCTCGTTCGTCACTGGTTTATATCCTGTTTGAGATTGAAATGGAAAGTTTATTTAGCCCTGACCTATCATGCCCCAAGAGTGATAATGCAACGTGTACAATATTAGGGGTGAAAATAATAATAATCACGTTACTAGAGATTATGTAAGGGTTGAAATATAATACATCTAGTACCTACTTCTCGCTCGACTTGAGGCATTTCTCAACTGGTAACTGACTAACTGAACAGCTCGAATTTTCTCACATACCCCCCCCCCCCCAACATCTTAAATCCAGTTTTTTTAATTTTACCCTTGTGCGATACAGGTATTTTGATGTTTATTTCACATTTTTTTTCCGGCAACAAGATGTATATTTTATCAAAGTTATTTATTCTGGAGTGCCACAGAGGATGACTAATGTGTAGATTGTTAGTAGTGGAGGAGACTGCAGTGAGAGCAGGTAAACAAAGTGAAAGGTTACAGGGAAATAGTGCTTGGAATTATGACAAAACTAAATTTGGCAGGGAGTTAAAATCTAAACGCGACAAACAGAGGACTCAGACCACGACTAACTTAAATGTCTACTACGCAAACAGTAGAAGTATGAGAAACAAAATGGATGAAATCAGGGCGTTGGTATGTACCGAAAAAATTGATACAGCATTCACCGAAACATGGATAAACCTAGACTCACGTGAGTTACCTGTCGAATACCAAATTGCAGGCTACAAATTATTCCATACCGATAGACAGATTAGGAAAGGAGGCGGTGTAGCAATCTATGTCAGGGATAATCTGAAGTGTGAAATAAATAAAGAAATAAAAACTGAGCGGAATACAGAAACAATTTGGATAGAACTAATCGATGGTAGGGAAAAATTAATCACAGGAATAATATGTAGACCTCCTAATCTTGATAGAGTTAATGAGCGACTTATTTGGGATGAAGTGCGCAGGGCTTCCAAACATAGCAAAGTCTGTATAGTAGGCGACTTTAACTTTAACCAAATAGATTGGATTGGCCTTTAGGGCAACTCAGAATCAGAAGATTTTCTTGAAACAATCCAGGACTGTTTCCTAAGCCAACATATAACCGAACCCACCCGGGGTAATAATATACTCGATTTAGTTCTGTCGAACAGAGAAAACCTCATTAGTAATGTCGAGGTAGGGAACGAACTTTCTAACAGCAATCACAAAGAAATTAGCTTCCAGTTAGAATTTCAGGGCAGCCACAAGGAAAATTCCACTGAAGTCCCAGATTTCAGAAGGGTAAACTTTGATAGTTTGAAGAGGCAGCTGAGAGACCTGACTGTTGGGGATGACCTGATAACGAGATATGAGGTTGACGAGTTCCACAACAATTTAAATAATGAATTACTTTAATGCACAAAGGAAGAACATACCATACAGAAAACTCAGATCAAGCAACAATGACCCTAAATGGATATATAATTATTCAAAGAACATCATTGGACATAGGAAGGCTATCGGTAGGAGAATAAATCGTGGTGAAGTCTACCTCCGAGATTATTATAAGGCATTGGCCGGTAGGGTTAAGACCGAGATAAGAAAAGCAAAGAGGAATAATGAACTGAAGGTAGCAAGGAGGCAAAGTCAAACCCC